AAAAAAAAGAACACTTAAGCTACAGTTTTAGCATCAATTTTAAATGGCGGGGAGCAGAATGCAACTCAGGCCCTTAGTTCCCCCCCAGTGTTACATTTCCTCAATATTTGGCTAAGCTGCCACCCTGGGCTCCTTTAGGAGGAAGGGCAGAATAGGAAGATGAAAAACAAAAAGCAAAGTTCTCCCCAATTTCTTCAAACAAAATGTACCACAAATGATTGCTCAAAACGTCTGGAGGGCCTAAATTATCGGCAGAGAACACCTGGCCCCAAAACAGAGTCCCATTAACACCTTGGGACATTATTCCTAAATTAAGTTAAATAATAAAATTTAGAACAGGGAGCAGCAGAAAGACCCACAGTTGGGGCAAAGAATTGTCAGCTGTTGTATGAATCCTGGTTGCAGGGAGGGGAGGAAAGAAAGTGGGCTGGAATATGGAACAGCCACCTTTGTTTCTTCCCCACAGCCCGTGCAGGGTAGACCCACAAAAGCCCAATCTTTTCCCATTTTTACTGAGGTCCATTTAAACTTGATGTCTCTCTAGACACCCAAGTTTAGATGGGTGTAAATAAAAAAATGAGGAAACACTGGATGATTGTGAGGCCACGGCACAGGGCTTATGGGGGGGGGGGAATCAGAGGTGGCTGGAGTTACCCAACAACTTTTCATGAATGGGGCAGAGTTTTACATAGGTTCTACATTACTGTATGTGAGACATTTCATAGGCAAGTTGTGGGGTCTGCTCTCTCTTAGGGTAAATACATAAAATCTGCCTTTTAAGTACAAAATACAATTTTTAAAAGGAGAAGAGTGGAGCAATGTAAGAATTTTAAAACAGCACACATCAGCAGCTAAGTAATGATGGTGTTTGGACAGAAGCTTTTCTCCTGTTAACACCCCCCACGCCCTAAAAAGCAAAAGAATAAGAGTTTGCAACTATTAGGAAGGCCAGGAAATTGAAAAAAAGAGGGGGAAAACTTACTTTTGAAGAGGTAATCATATTCATCATCCTTGGCCCGCATAGTGACTTCAAGCTCCTCAGGAGTTCAGGTACCCCACAAGAAAGCAGGTGAGGACACACCTGTGCCTCTTTCCTCTGGGTCCAAAAGAAGCAGGTGATCTCACTACTCTGCGATTTCCTGGGTTTAACCAGCTTCAGGTACAGCAGTCAGGTAGCACAGCCTTAGGAAGCCATTCCCACTCTGCCATTGGTTGCTCTGCTGCTCTCTCCCTTCGTTCTGATTGGCCCAGTTTGGGGTTTGGATATGTACTCACTATGGACTGGCTGTCAAGGAGTTCACCTGGCCCAGGTAGGTGGGTGGGGCATAGATCTTTAACCAGAAAAAATTTTTAAAGGGCTAGAACACATTTCCAATTTAGAAAAGCCAAAAACCACGGGTGGAGCTTGAAACGTTAATTTCTGCCAATTTGTAACCTGAATGCTCTGCTTCCTGGCTGACCCCACCCAGGCAAGGTGAGCAAGCAAGTGTGTGTTGGTGGTTTTCAACAAACAGGATGATTCATCTTAATTTGAATATATTGCACAGGCATCAGGGGGAGAAGTTTTTTTGTTTTAACCCCAACTATGCTGCCTCAAAACCCAGATTCTATCAACTGGCTGAATCATGCAAATGAAAAGCACTTATTTGCAAACCTACTTCTGTTAAATGGGAGTTGTGAAAGGTGAAGGGAAGGACTTATTTGAAAGGCTAAAGCCATAAATCAGCTTCTCTCCCTGCTTTCCCCTCCACACCCTGGCCATAAGAGCAAAAAGAGCTGGCTGGATCACACCATTGGCCACCATGTTCTCCCTGCATGTGCTGAAATTTGCAAGCAGTGAGAGTTGTGTTCAGGTTCTGCTTATGGGCTTCCCAGTAAAGGCATTGGGTTGGCCACTTTGAAGACAGAGTGCTGAACTAGATAGGCCAGTGGTTTTCAACTAGTGTGCTGTGGCACCCTCGGGTGCCTTGAATGATAGGGGTGCTGCGGGCAACACTGGCCTCTGTCCCTCTTTCCTCCCCTCCCTCCTCTGATCCCCTCTTGGGTCTCTGCCTCCCAAAAGCTTGCACAGCTGTTTGTTGCAGCAGGACTGGCTACAAGCTCCGCAGGCGAATGGTGCCTTTGGGGCTGGCCAGGGGGTGCTTCCCAGGCCCCTGTGGGGCAGTGTAAGGAGGCACCTCTCTATGGGGTGGATGGGGCAGTTCAGAGACCAGGGGCTGCGGCTGCCCGAGGATTTGCAAGGAGAGGGGAGGCGACTGAGGTCAAAAACCTCTGAGATACATTATTTGTTTGATCCTGTAGGGCTTTTCTTACATTCTTCCCCCCCCATACATTTTTATTAGTTTTCAAGCCATTTAACCAATTCAACTCAATTTTAATACAATGTTCCCTTAATATTTTGACTTTCCATCCTTCCTTCCATGATGCTTCTATTCAAATCCTTCATCTACTGCCATTAATGTAATATTTCATTAAAACACACATTGCTTTATCAATCTCATTCCTTTCAAGTCCTGCCTGCTATTTCATTTGACTATAATATTTTCTCAGATAATCCGAAAAGGATCTCCATTCTTCTACAAGCATTTCTTCATTTTGGTCTCTTATTTTGCTGTTATTTTTCCGTAGTCCAATAGTTTTGGGACTCTTTGCCATAGTCCAGTAATTTCAAAGTCCACTCCTCTTTTGTTGGAACTTCTTTTTCCTTCCATTTCTGTGCATACATAATTCTGTCTGCAGTGGTAGCAAACATAAACAGTTTTAACCAACTATTTGGGGGGACACCTGTCCCTTTTATTTCCAAAACAAATGCTTCAGGCTTTTGGGAGAAGACTATTCTAAACATCCTTTCTTACCCATTTATTACAGAGGCCAACCAAATGCCTTTGGGAAGCCCTAAAACTAAGGTTACCTGATGTCCCCGTTTCCCAGGGACAATCCCTGGATTTACAGATCAGTCCCCATACAAAATCCATTGAAGTTGAAAAGTGTCCCCGGATTCATTGAAAAAAATCTGGTAACTTTACCTAAAACAGAACCTGAGTGTGACAGTGCTCTCACTACCTGCACATCCCAGCAGGTGATATTCAGAAGCATTACTGCCTACAGCTGTAGGTCAGCAGCCATTGGTAGCCTTATCTCTGCAGCCATAGAAACTTTAAAATTGGTATTGCTGGATTGGACCAAAGATCCTGCTAACCTTGCACTCTCTCCCCAACCAGCCAGATGTTTTTGGGAAGCCCACTTGACAAGGCTTGAAGGCAGTAGCCATTCTTTGTTGTTTGTCTCCAGCATCTGCTAACCAGGGGTAGACTGCTCCTGAACAGTTAGGTTCTACACGCAGCTCTCATGGCTCATCACAATTGGGAGACCAGTCCTCACAAGATTTGCCTATTCCCCACCAAAGACATACAGTTTAGTGACCCTATTATCTCCTCTCTTGTTTTTATCAAAGGCAGGCCAACATGCTGGATTCCTTCCCCAAGGCAAACTCCACACTTGTGCATTGCAATCTGTGATGCACAAAAATGCACACACACAACCTATTTATTTGCAGAGTGGGGAAAGGGGACTGAAGAATGCCTGTCTTGGGAAGAACTTTGTATGCAGTCTTTTCCAACCTGGTGCCCTCCGGATGTTTTGGACTGTAACTGGCATCATCTCCAGCCAGCACGGCCATTTGAGACTGCAGGTTCCATCAGCCCAGGCATCATACATGTGGGATATGTATCAGTCACTTTAATAATACAGTGGTACCTTGGCTTACGAACTTAATCCGTTCTGGAAGTCCATTCTTAAACCAAAGCGTTCTTAAACCAAGGTGTGCTTTCCCATAGCAGCGAGGGACTCAATTTACACTCAACAGGAAGTAGAACATGTTATGCTTCCAAGGCAAAGTTCACAAACCAAAACACCTACTTCCGGGTTTGCAGCGTTCTTAATCCAAGTTGTTTTGTTCTTAAACCAAGGTACCACTGTACAGTCTTGCTGGCCGTGGCTGGTGGGAGTTGTAATCCCAACACATCTGAAGGGCACCAGGTTGGGGAGGGCTACTTGTATGGTTTGCTAATTTTGTTGTGGGAGGGGAGTTGATTGTATTGTATTTCACAGTTCTTGTTTATAAGAACACTTGCAGGGAAAGGGAGAATACATCTTTTAAATAAAGTTTAACATATACGCTTTTGGAAGCTCTTGCAGAGAAGATCTGCTTTCAAGATCTCTCTGGCCTGTCCCAAGCCTCTTATCAGGTGGGATCAATGTAACAACACCCTGACCTAGCATATATCTTCTGTCCACTAATTTAAGATGTCCAGGACTAGCTGGACCTGTTTGCTCCATGATCAGCCAAACATTCCTCTTGCCCTGGATTCCAGGTAGTCTCTAGATTCCACTGAGGGAGCTTCAGAAACCTGCACTCTATATCTACAGCCCTCTATGTTATTGATCCACATCTCCCATTATCCCCAACCTTGCTGTTTTCAGCTGGTGGGACTTGAGAGTCCAGCAACATCTTGGGGGGGGTGATGGATTAAACCCTGTGGAGGCCCCTTGGCAGTCAAAATCTGGGCGGTGGCAGGCTTTGTGCACACACTGGAATAATATTGAACTAAGGAAGCTTGATTGTTGTTTTCTTTCAAGATCAGATCAATATTATTTTGATCCATTGTTGTGGGACCCCTAAAAAGTGTGGGGCCTATAGGCCAGTGCCTACTCTGCCTATTTGGTAATCCAGCCCGGTCCCTTTGGCTGCAAGAGAGAGAAGAAACAGAAGCTGAGGGACGCCTCCTGATGCGCTGCATCTGTTCCCCACAATGAAATGGAAGGCTCAACATTTGTCAGGAACTTTTGGATGCTCAGCAGCCCTGTGTGGTTACAACAACCCTGTAAAGTAGGCCAGTGCTATGCACTCCCCAAATTGCAGCTGAATCCCTCGCAGATTGGCATCCAACCTCTGCTTCAAAGCCTCCAAGGAAAGAGAGTCCACCACCGCCCAGAGAGTCTTACCATCAGAAAGTTCTTCCTAACGTTTAGTCCGAATCTCCTCTCCTGCCCTCCTCTCTGGAGCAGCAGAAAACAAGCTTGCTCCCTCTTGCAGCCCACAGATATTGAAAGATGGCTCTCCTCTCTCCTCTCAGTCTCCTCTTCTCCAGGCTAAACATACCCAGCTGCCTCAACTGTTCCTCATCAGGCTTGGTTTTCAGCTCCTCCACACTCTTTCCCTGCCTTCCCCTTTTCTCTCCCCTCTCATCATTTACATTTACTAGGACATTCATAGACCACTTTCCTCCCAGGAGCTCAAGGTGGCCTTCATGGTTCTCCCTGCCACCAATTGTTATCTTCACAGCAGCCCTGCAAAGTAGGCTAGGCTGGCCCAAGGTCCACCAGGGAGCTTCATGGCTGAGTGGGGATTCGAACCCTGCTCTCCCAGGTCCTCCTAGTCCAGCCCTCCAACTGCTACACCTCTGCCTGGCTCCATTTTGCCTCTCTCCAACGGCCCTACGACATCGGACTTCTCCCCCTTCCTGGGGGTCTCTCTGGCTCCATGGAAGATTCCAACACCTTCCTCATGTCCTGCTCCTCTTCTGGGACACCTTGATGCTTGGAGGACCCTCCTATGGGTCTCCTCCCTCTCCAGGAAGGGCAGGGCTGTCCTAAGATGAGGCAGAGCAGCCCTTTTAACAGTTGGCAATGCTTGTCTTTCCATTGGGCTGGAGCTCTTGAACCCATAGCACTTGGGGCCTCCTTTGTCTCTCTGCCAGCCCTTCATGCTCTGGGCTGCCTCTTTCCCGCTCTGGCGATGCCCTTTCAGGTCACTAAACTGCAGAGAGATGGAAAGAATTGGGCCAGACGCCCCTCCTCACACACAAACGCCCCCCAAGAATTGGGGCTGCCACCTTCTGAGTTGCTCTCTCTGCTCCTCTCTTCTAAGTTAAGGTGTTCAAGATGCCTGATCAGCCGCAGCAACAGCCCTGCAAGGTCCAGAGCAGCCCATGGTGTCAGGTGAGCAAGTGGTCCTCCTTTTTGGGACAGAGGAGGGCAGGAATGGGCTAGGGGGGCAGCTAGTCAAAAGATGCACAGAGCCAGACGGCTGGATCCAACCCAAGGTCCATCTGAGCCAGTGTCTGGAAACCCAACTCTGCCAGCGACCACCCGTTTTGTGGGGTCCAATGGAGGAAGCAGGGGGGGGGGGCTGCGGGGCAAGGCGGGGGGGGAGTTGTCAGCGGGAGGGGCACCTTCCCTGGGGAGCCATGTTCTGGGGGCAGGAGGCCAGGATTGACCCCCAAGGCCTGGGGTGTCCCTCCCCTGTAGTAGGACTTGGAATCCAGGAGAAAACTCTTGGAATAGCCTTGCCAGGGGCTCAGGGACGAACTCACCTGTCCCCATGTCCTTCTCTTTGCAGGTGTGCTGGGGTTCCACATCCCTTCTGTAGCGGTGAGTATTGGATAAAACAAGAGCAGGGAGTGGATCCCTCAGACTTGCCCCCCCCCCCCGCTCAGTGCTGGATTTATGTATAGGCTAAGTAGTCTGAAGCCTAGGGCCTCTAAATCTAGGGGGCCTCACCAGGCCTTCTTTGTCCTGGCCGGGCCTTCAGCATCCAAACCAGGCCTTCTTTGTCCTGGCCAGGCCTTCTTCATCCTGACCAGGCCTTCTTCGTCCTGACCAGGCCTTCTTCGTCCTGACCAGGCCTTCTTCGTCCTGACCAGGCCTTCTACATCCTGGCCAGGCCTTCTTTGTCCTGACCAGGCTTTCGGTGTCCAGACCAGGCCTTCTTTGTCTTGGCCGGACCATCGGCGTCCTGGCCAGGCCTGCGTCCTTCTCTTATCAACTGCCAGTCCTAAGGGTGGGGGAGTTGGCACTGGGCTATGCTCATCTTGTCTGGCAGTTAACTCTCTTGCTTCCTGGCTACTTCCTTCACTGGGAGCTGCCTGCAAACCTTCCCTGGCGGCTGGCTCACTCATGACACGGGGCAAGTTGATGAACTTGGGTAACTTCACAACTCCCCTCCTTCCTGGTGACATGATGTATCAGTGATGTCTCAATGATGGTTTTGGACATGTATTCTGGTAGGGAGGGAAGGTTTTCAAAGAGCTTGTAACCCATGTTCGGGGTTCTTACTCTGTGTGGGGACCTGTTGCACAACAATAAAGATTGTGGTCTATTGACCCCTGTTTTGCTCCTGTATTTGGCTGGAACTTCCTTCTTCTGCTAACCGCAGAGACCCGCAGGGACTTGCACCCCGACGAGCTGGGCTGTTGAGTGTCCTCGCCCCCCAGAATTTTCCATCTCAGAATCCAGAGCCCGTAGGCCCAGAGTCAACAACCTTCCCCAGCTCAAGGGTCAGGTCAGTAGTGGTACGTGCTGCACTTTAATCAGTGGGAGAGTACGAGTGGGGGGCCAGCTGAGGCAGATAGACCAGGCAAGCAAGCTCTATCTTTCACACTTCACAGAGCCCTGTTGGTACCTGCAGCATGCACTGCAGATTGCCCACAGGCAGAGAGGCCTTGGGGATCAGGGAAGCCAGCAGTGGGAAGGGATCCTCAGAGGGATCCAGAACTACCTGTAGAAGGCAGGAGGCTAGGCTGCAGGTTGGTAACTGGACCTCATCCTGAGGGAAAATAAGTATAGGGTTGGAGGAACTGCGTTTTGTCCTATTTTATTTGTGCCCGGTGGTGTTTTCCTTTTCTATGTTTAATTTAAAGGGCCTTTTGTGTTTAAAATCCTGCTACTTGCAGATAATCAAGAAAATATTTGTTCTTTGTTTAAAAGCCCAGTCTAGTGCTGTGACCACAGAGTCTCCCCGCTCTGCCCCTACCAGTGCCTTAAGAAGGGTCCTGGGAGGGAAAAAGCCCCAAAATGTGCAGGTGCCAACCCTCCAGGAGAAACCCAAAGTTAGGGGTTTTCATCTCCAAACCCCAGGAGTCAGCCAGAGGGGTCTCTCTGCCCCTCAAGAAAGACATAGGGAAGTCAGCAAGTGGTGGCAGCTACTGAAGAGTGACAGAAGCCCAAGTTTATCCAGTTGAAGAGCAATTTTTATTTTTGTTTTTAGATTCTAATCTAAGCATGAGTAAAAGATTTGAAAGTGGTGCTAGCAAGCACAAGAGACAGAGTCTCAAAAATGCTATGATAATGAAGTTAAGACCAGTCACTGCTTTCATGCATCAACCACTCATTGAAGCAACAAGAGCCGGCAGGTCACTATAAATCTGGTGGGTCGTTCAGCTGTGGATTGCTGCCTTGATGCAGTGAATTGTTTTGGCATTATCAACGAAATTTATTCCTTCTTTTCATCCTCCACAAAGAGATGGGCAGTTCTTAAAAACATTTTTGCCACCACAGTCTAATGTGCCTAAATATTTGTCAGACAGATATTTGTGGGACACACAGCACATTCAAAAGCCACAAAAGCTGTTTTGAAAAGTTATAGTGCTATCACTGATGCCCTCAGTCATTTGTACTCTGATGTTAATGGGAAGGGGGAACCAGGCTCCAAGCTAACAATCTTTTGCAGAAAATGGAAGAACTGGAATTTGTGTTTATGCTGCATTTTTGGACCCATGCTCTAGGTCATTTTCACAAGGTCAGCAAAACCCTTCAGAAATCAGAACTTTATTGAGTTCTTGTGCAAGTTTGTACAGTTCACTCTGAACTTTTTCTTCTAGTTGTGAGGGTGGGGGGTTGGCTGGGGCCTCACAAGTGGAGTAGCCTAGGGCCTCTCTTCATCTAAATGTGGCCCTGCCCACGCTGCCTGGGCTCTTTGCCCCCCACTCTGCATTCTCGGATGCAGAGGAGCCCTCAAGGAACTGACAGCCCGACTTTTGCATTTCAGCTGTTGGAGGAGGATCAGCTATACCTCCTGGAGGTCATCCAGAACTGCCAGGCAGCTTGGCTCAGGGGGCTCCGAACCCTGAAGTGCTCCAAGCAGGAGACGGCCAAAGCCATTATGGTGAGTGAGGGGTGGCGTGAGGGACCCCCATGGGGAGGGAGGGGCAGAGAGGGGCTTTGGGGAGGCAAGAGCAGGCAGAAGGGGGTAAGGGAGGAGGCAGCGTCTAACCCCTCTCCTTTCTCCACCTTCATGAGACCCCATTTCAGCTGCGATATGGTCAGTGCTATCCTACATAGGACAATGGAGGCTGTTCTTGGGGGCGCAGAAAAGGAGGAGGACAAAGAGGTATGTCCTCTGCTTTGACTTCCCTTTGCACATCTCTGTCTTCTTCTCACACCCTTGCAAGATTTAACCCAGCACTCAACCTCTCTTCTCACTTTTCTCGCAGGAATGGAAGAGGCACTTCCTGAACCTACTGGGGGGTCTCCTTCTGGAGGCCCCCAATGCTGGCACCCTCCTCCAGCTGCTCACTGTAAGTGTCCTGATGGCATCAGGAGTGGGTTTAGGGTTGCCCCCCATCCCTTACCCAACAGACTGTTTCATTTCTGGGGCACAGAGTCCCCTGTCCCGTTTGGCCCCCAATTTGGCCCAAGACCAAAAGTGGCAACCCTCATGGTTCGGGAGTGCCAGGGACTCTGTGATGGGGGCAGCGGAGGGCCGCTTTGGCCCAGACTGGCCCCTGACTCTGAGACACTCTTTCCTCCTGCAGGACCTCCGATTTTACGCCCTTTGGGGAAGTGAGGTGGAAAGGAAACACTGTTTCACGAAGATTCCCCCACCTCAGAGTAAGTATCTTGCCTTCCTGTATTCATTTCTTTGGTTGCTTCCATCCCCCCAAGAGCACATCTCCCAGCGACTTTTAATGCAGAAGATGTGGTGTGTGTCCCTGGGAGCCAGAATGAGGCCAGAGGGTATTTCTGCCCCCTTTCCTGGTGCTGCCCTTCCACCTCTGCCTAGGAGGCTGCGGGGTCCAAGGAGGTCCTCTGGGGCAAGGGATTGGGCCCAAGCCATAGTGAGACCCATCCTTCCTGGCATGGGGCTGCTTCTGTGCTGTTTTGCACCCATCCAGGGTGGGGACCCAGATTTTTCTTTCCTCTGCAAAACACAGTAATTCACCCAGAGCTGGCTTGTTTCTGGCAAAATCTGAAAGAAGATAAGCCCCACACCTTGGGGACAGCGAATTCCCTTGTCCCTTGTTTGCCCAAGACACACCTCCCAGGTCTTCCTGCTGGGAGTCCTGCAGGACCTGCTCCCTGCCTGGCAAGCCTTTCCTATCTTGTCATAGCCTGTGTCAGCTCATTGAAAGTGCATGCCTCTATGTCCCTGGGTGCCACCAGACCTTCCAGTAGAGTGATGGCGGAACTTCCCAGCACCGTCAGTAGCACATCCACCTTGTCTGCCTCCCTAGTGAAGCCTTGTAGTCGGACATAGCTCCTTATTCGGCGGAGCCACTGCGGCCATTCTGCAGGATGGCTCATATCCAAGTCCGGTGGCGGCCGACTATGACTGGCGGCCATCCTTGGACCTGGAGCAGTTGCTTGTGTGATTGTGGGTGGTTGCGAAGATGCAGCAGGCGCGGTCTCGTTTCTGGGACTATTTGCTAAGTCCAGCGTGGCGGTGAGGTCGCGCTTACTGCGAGGCAGCAGGCGGCGGGAGTTCATCAACCCCAACCTTGTCACCAGTGTTCGGGAAAAGTCAGAAGCCCAAGGCAGTATAAGTTCCTCGACTATGTTTATTCAACATTTGTCAGTGACAACAGCTCACTCATAGGAAAACAAGAACTGAACTGACTGGACAACAGAATAATAATGCCGAGCATGAACTGACAGTTGACAGTTGAAAGTCCATGCGCTTACTTGCCATTAGAACGTTCGTCTACCAGCGCTTATATGATTGGTTAGAATGCACCTTGTGTTAAACCCAATACATAACATCTACCATCCAAATGATGACATCATCAAAGAGTTATGATTTTCCTCCCTGAAGGAATTGCTGGCTCTATTTGGACATCCCAATTGGCCAAAGTTTGGCAGAAGAAGAGGCGCCGAGAATCAGGAGGGGGGTAGATGATTTAACCAGCCATGAAATATGGACTGAGATTGGGCAGAACAAGGAAGGAAGGAAGGAAGGAAGGAAGGAAGGAAGGAAGGAAGGAAGGAAGGAAGGAAGGAAGGAAAGAAAGAAGGAAAGGAAGGAAGGATCCATGACAGATGGTCATCTAATATCTGCTTTAAAACCTGCAAGGAAGGAGAGTCCATCACCTTCCAGGGGAGTCCATTCCTCTGTTGAACAATGTTTAGTTGGAATCTCCTTTGTTGTTTCTGAAGCCATTGGTTCGAGTCCTGCCATCCAGAGCAGGAGAAAAAAGCTTGCTGCATCTTCCATGTGACAGCCCTTGAGTTACAGTGGTACCTCTGGTTACGGATTTAATTTGTTTCGGGGTGCTGTGTGCACCCTGAAAAATCCATAACTAGAGGCGCCACTTCTGCACACATGCGCAGCGTGATAGAGTGCTTCTGCGCATGCGTGCGGCGAAACCTGGAAGTATAAACTTCTGGGTTTGCTACAGCCGTAACCTGAAGATTCCGTAACCTGAAGGTTATGCAACACGAGGTACCACTGTATTTGAAAATGGCTCTCTCTGGTGTCGCTGGCTCAAGCTGGTTGATTTTCTTGCATTACTTAAACTAAATAATTTTTAATGGATTTTGAATAAACATGCAATAAATTGTTACTGTTTTGAATTTCATTGTGTTATTGTCTCCCATTGATCTGGACACTTTTCTGTTGTTGAAGCCTAAAACAGCATTAGCATTTTTTGCTGCTGCATCACTCTCAGGTTGACTCATGTTAAGCTTGTGGTCCACTAAGACCCCTAGATCCTTTTCCCATGTGCTACTAGCAAACCAGGTATCCCTCATGTTATATTGGTGCAGCTGGTTCTTTCTGCCGATCTGCAAAACCTAAGATTAGTCCCTATTGAATTTATTTTTGTTTTTGGTCATTTATGATTAAGTTATTAGAAAAAAATGGAATTAGGAGTCATATTCATAAAAGGGATTAAGGCAGTTTATACAGATCAAACTGCAAACCTGATTGTATGCCATTACAGGAATAATGCCATTACAGGAAAAATGTAAGATATAGAAGGGGACGAGGCAAGGATGCCCCCTATGTCATGGCTGAAGCTGCATTTGAAGGAGAAACTTCCTTAATATTGTTATTTTAAATCACTTGGCTATACCAGATCGGAAAACAGCAGATCTCTGCCTGCAAGGTTCTTACTAAGTAAGTGTGTCAACATTAAGAGATGTGGGGGAGAAATTAGGAAAGCCGTGGTTCAAATCTCGCTCTACCATGAACAGCCCAAGTTGCATTAAGCAAGGAGCTCAAGTGACATATGTAGCTCTCCTCCTCCCCATTTTATCCTCACAACAACCCTGTGCGGAATTCCTGTGCATGGTTGGATATGACTGATTGATTGATTGGTTGTGTGCATCGTACCTTTGTGTATTTATTTCATATTCACATGTATTAATGTGGATCACACTTTGGGGGGCTTTGGGTGGTGTATAAATAAAAAAATATGCCATATCATGGTAGAGCAGAGATGTTGCTGTGTGCATAGGATATGTTGCTGTATGCTGCTGTGCATGTTAGCACGGGGTGCTCCTCGGGAGGTTGTGGACTCTTTGGAGGTTTTTAAACAAAGGTTGGGTGGCTGTCAGTCAGTGACTCTAGTTAAGATTCCTGCATTGCAGGGGGTTGAGACTAATGGCCCTTGGGATCCCTTCCAACTCTACAGTTCTGATTCTAAATGATTTAGACCCACTATAGAAACCATCTCTCCTCTCCCGTACTCCATTCAAATCACAGAGATCTGTTGGAGACTCACCAAAGCCCAACCCTGAGCACATTTCTAACAGGAAGAGATCTGCGGTTAAGAGATTTGAGGTTGCGAGCAACTGCTTCCTGTTGACTGAGAATCCAGACTGCTGACCCATCTAATCCAGTACTGTTGACGGTGACTGGCAGTGGCTACCCAGGGTTTGAGATATGGAGTCTTAGTCCAGCCCTAACTAGAGATGCCGGCAGGGATTGAACCTGTGACCTTCTGAATGCAAAGGTGGTGCTCCCCTCCATTGCCCCCCCCATGAAAAAGAATTATGCTCTGTGTCAAATCCCCAAATGCAACCAAAGTTTAAGTAGGGCTGCATTCACAACATTAATCCACTATGATACCACTTTAAACCATCATGGCTTCCCCCAAAGAATTCTGGGAACTGTAGTTTGTTCAGGATGCACAACAGGAATCTTAGGTGTCTCTGAAATAAGCACTTTGCTTCTTTTATTTATGGAATGTTTCCCAATGTACACACCCCTACTTGTTTCGCTACATTAAGCACAGTAATAAATTAAAAAATGCCCAGTCCATAGCGATTTATTTACAAAATATATTATTTGTGTCTCTTGCTATATATACACACAATACATATATGTATAAATGTACACACACAATATACTGACGAATTTCCATTTCCACAAAGGTCTGGCTGTGTCTTTTGGATGGGGTAAATTTCGAAGGATCTCAGCTTGGTGATCCAGACATTCAAGTTTCGGTATGGAGGCTGAACACAAAAGGAGTCACAGCCACAGAAAGAAGTCTAAGCAGGGAGTCCAAGTGCATTGTGAATGTGTAACAAAAGAAATAACAAGGGGGGAGGGAATCTAAATTCCCTACTAGGGCAGTGCCCTTATTAGGCCAACCAAAATGTCACAAAATAATGTGCAAGTTTTTAAGTTTCACAGAACTCTTCATCAAGCCAGATGAAGAGATAAGGAGAACTCAAAAACTTGCATACTATTCCATGATATTTTGCTTTGTCTAATAAAGGCATTGAGCCGACAGGGACTTTGGAATATAACAAAAGAATCTAAAAAGACCCCCATCAGGGAACCTTGCAGCCTCCTTGACACGCTAGCCAAGCTAGAAGCCCCCCCACCATCAGGTCTTCCTCCTGCTTCTTCCCCCCCGCAACCTGTATTGACATGTGGACTGCCTCTGCCTATGGAGGCTCAATTTAGCCACTGGTGGAGTTCTCCTCCATGAAGTTGTATAACCCCTTTTTCAAGCCATCACCCATCACCTCCTCCTTTTGGCTTCCAGTTCTGTCAGTTAATCACTTCTGTTGGGGGATTTTTGGTATTAGGAGACTAGGAAGTGCCAGGGGAGTCTTCATAATAACCGAATTCCCTGCCCTGCAAAATGCCCTTCCTTCCTACCTACCTAGTCATTCAGCCACATTGGCACCATGCCCAGGGCATTGTGTGGAAATTCTGGCACAGATTTATTGGCCCTACAAGAGCAGCAGCAAGCCTTCTCAATCTGGCACCCTCTGGCTGTTTTGGGCTACAATTCCCGTCAGATCCAGCCAGCATATGAGGAAGGCTGAGCTCTATAGCAGCCACTCTCAACCTGGCGTCCTCTGGGAGTTTTAGACTACAACTCCCAGTTATGGCCATAGCCCAAAACATCTGGAGGGCACCATGTTGGCAATGGCTGTGACAGAGAGTTGGAGTTTGATGAGGGAAACTCAAGCTCATCCACAAATGAGCACTGACCTTGTCTCCTTAGAGGGAGGTTGTGGGGATAGAAGTGTAATTTTTTTAAAGTTTGAAGCAGCAGATGTCACATGCAGCGAAGCCCTGTTACCATGAAGTAAAAGCCACTAAATTCAACAGGGATTACTCCTGCGTACACATGCTAAGCCTCACAGAAAGCCAACAGGATTTAAGTTAGCACATGTTAACACCATACATTTAAAGTGCAATGGCACCACTTTAAACGGTCGTGACTTTCCCTCCCCAAAGAATTCTGTCAGCTGTAGTTTGTTAAAGGTGCTGAGATTTGTTAGGGTACACCTCTTTCCCTCCCAGAGCTACAATTCCCAAAGTTCCTTGTGAAGGGAATTGTAGCTCTGTGAGGGGAATAGGGGCCTCCTAACAACTGTCAGCAAGCTTAATAAACTACAGCTTCCAGAATCCTTTTGGGGAAGTTGTGACTGTTTAAAGTGCTATCAAATGTATGGTGCGATTGTGGCCTTAGTCACAATAACCTGCAATGGAACTTGCACTGTGATCCTAGGCCTATTTGGATGAAGAAGCCCTACCAGAGTTCAAAGGACTTCACTCCCAGCTAAGAGGGTACAGGACGGCTAGTTGTGATTAACTTTGGCAGGATTGTGGCTACTGTTGCATTCACTATAGATTCGTATCTGTATTGGAAGACAAGGGTGGGACATTGCAGGGTTACGGGTGGTTCTTTTGTACAGGTACTGACCCACAAACACGGAATTCTTGATTCAAGATGCTTTGTCACCCCCAAACACGCTATTGTGCTCCCTAGATTTAGGTAGGCGAGCCTGATCCATAAAGTTTCCATAACTAACCCCCAGACCACAGAGGCTACAGTGAGACGGATATCTCAGCCATAAATCATCATCCAGAGTGTGGAATCCTCTCCCACCCACCAAAAATTGGCTTCCTCAACACGGCTGATGTTCCTCATGTGCGACCCTCACTTCAGAGGTTCAAGCAACAAGCTCGCTTCCCTTCCACAGCTTGAGAGGTGGAGGCTGCATCAGTGTGTTCGGCAGAGAGCGAAACGGTGTTGTCCAGGGGGCTTTTCTGCTTCTGTTTCTGCACTTTGTTGAAAATGTCTAGGAGACAAGAAGGAATAAATAAAGATGGTTATGCACCACCCCAATCTCCGAGCAGCGAGAAATTCCAGGAGTGCCCCAGGGGCTCACTTTCCTTGGAATGAAGGTGTCTTTAGGACAGATGGTTTTATTTGTACAGGTAACTCACAATGTACACACAGTTAGCTTGTGCAAATCCAGCTTTACACACTTGGCAATTAAATTAAAAAAATAAAAAGGGGGCAAAAATGGAGAGGATGTCCAGGAAAAAAACCTTTGCCGATCCCACCCACCATTGCACCATAGTGCTAATGTGTGCATTATCAGCACCAATAAGCTATCATCTGGGAAAAACCTGAATTTTATGTTTTTCCAGACTGCACGATTTACCTTTTATCTCCATGCGTGTGTGTGTGTGTGTGTGTGTGTGTGTGTGTGTGTATGAGAGAATGGGAAGTGGGGGCTTAAAACAAACCCTTCTCCATAGGCTGCAGCCCCTTACTGGAGTAAAGAACAAGTGACAGCAAGGAAGATCACCCTCCTTCTCAACCCTGGCTAGGCCACTGCAAGTTTGGGCACCACCTGCTGCTGGAGGAAGTGGACCGCTCCCGGCACCATTATTCTGGTAGGGTGCCATCGAGGTGGGCCCCCCTGGACACACACCACGTGCCAGGTGCCACGCCTCCACAGGCGGCGCATCATGCCCCCGGAATGGGTGCCATGCCCCCAGATGCGCATCATGCCCCCAGTAGTGGAGCATGCAGCTTCGCCACTGGTACCACCAACTGATGACTTACCTCTCAAGATAGTTTCAAAAGCCAATTCAACATTTGTGGAGTCCAGCGCAGAGGTTTCCATAAAGAGCAGACCGTTGTTTTCTGCAAGAAGAGAGAAGCAGTGAGACCCTATCAGACCTCCATTAATAGATAAGATCGGATCAGGTCCCCAATTTAAAACTGGGATTGGTAGTCATTCTGTCTTTTTTTATTTCATAATTTATAAAATGCATTCAGAGAATACTGAAACAGTGGACAGAAAGAGAATATAACACAGTGGTACCTTGGTTCCTGAACGGCTTAGCTGATGAACAAATTGGCTCCCTAATGCTTCAAACCTGGAAGTGCCAGTTTGTGAACGTTTTTCGGAAGCCGAAAGTCCGTTTTGGCTGTCGGCATTGTTTCCGGGGCCAATCAGCCAACCAGAAACCACACCTTGGTTTGCAAACGTTTTGGAAGCTGAACGGACTTCCAGAATGGATTGAGTTTGAGAACCAAGGTACCACTGTACAAACAATAACACTGTTTCTAGCCGATTCAATCCAGTGGATTAATCAATTGTTAAAAGTGTCTGTGATTGATCAGGCTGTAGATTTCATTTTTATATAGTGGCATTGCTCGTTTAGTAATAAAACACATTATAAAAGTGTGCCAGTACAGATGGCAGGAACTATTTTAAAAGAGGCACTCCGTCTTAAAGCTTCTAACTCTTCACACAAGTGCTGAGAAGGTACATGGGATGCTGCCATATACTGAGTCAGACCATTGGCCCATCTAGCTCAGTTACTGTCCGCACAGATTTGCAGAGGCTCTCCAGGGTTTAAGGCAGGAGACACTCCCAGCCCCAGCTGGAGACACTGGGGGGTTGAACCTGGGACATTCTGCATGCAAGGCAGATGCTCTACCATTGAGCCACAGTCCTTCCCTGTGGTGGAGCACAAATCCTTCTCGGAGCCCGATGTGCGAAGCCACAGAGCTGTGCCCTACCTGCATACATCTTGGCTTCCTCCGTTGGGACCTCCCGGGCTTGGGTCAGATCTGTTTTGTTGCCCACCAGCATCACAATGATGGTGGCCTCTGCGTGGTCATACAGCTCCTTCAGCCAGCGCTCCACCACGTCATACGTCTGGTGCTTGGTGATGTCGAAAACCAAGAGGGCTCCCACTGCGCCTCTGTAATAACTGAGAGATCAGGACAGGGTTAAGAGAAGGGCGTATGAAGAACTAGCAGCAGCAACAACAAGGAAGCATGGGTGTCTCACGATTCCTTCTCTTTTCTTTGGAAGTCTCAACATTATTTCTTAAACAAGGCCTTTGATTACAACATACATTTAAAGCGGTACAGTGTCACTTTAAACAGCCATGGCTTCTTCTGCCCCAAAGAATCCTGGGAGCTGCAGTTTGCTAAGGGTACTGAGTGTTGTGACTACAACTCCCAGAGTTCCCTGGGAAGAGGGATCGACTACTGAACCACTTTGAGAATTGTAGGTCTGTGGATGGGGCCTCCTACCAACGCACAGTGCCCTGTGCAAACTACAGCTCCCAGAATTCTTTGGGGGAAGCCATGACCGTTTAAAGGGGTATCACAGTGCCTTAAATGGTGTGAAGGTGGCCTATGTTGGTTCTTCTTTGCGGATCTTCCACCTTCCAGATCTTCCACCTTAGATCTCACTTTTCAAATCACAGTATTAATTAATTTGCACCCAACATAAGGTGACCAGTTATGCATTGCCAAAAAAAAAGGAAAAGAAATAAGATGAAAGAAGTCAACAATTTGCATAAAAACTGTATGTGGGCATTTATATCTATGGATGAAAGCTTACAAATAATTGCTATACTTTAAACAGAGATACAGAACACCTCCCTATAGCGGGGAGGACGGAGGGTGAGTGGTGGGTTTGCCTAGTCTGCTAACCACTGAAAAGTAATTCAAAGCTCCTGCCTCCTTTTCTTATGGTCTCTTATTATTTAAGCCAGCCTTGGACTGGACAGCCAGGCAAGAACACGAGGAAGGTGATGAGCCGGGCTGGTGAGGGTCCCAAGGGCCAAACAGAGGTGCCTGGAGGGCCACATAGAAACTCAAAATCACAGAGTTCGAAGGGACCGTGAGGTCCATAGACTCACAGAGCTCAAAGGGACTACAAGGATCATCTAGTCCAACCCCCTGCAATGCAGGAATCATCAGAAAGGCCTTGTTCACAAGTCCTATTGAAATGTCTTTACTTCAGAGCTGCATTGACATACACACCCTACCCTTCCTCCACAGAGGTAAGAACAGACTCTCATGCAGGCAGGAAGGCTCCTGTTCACTGCTGGCTGCACTCAGATTTTGTTTGCTACCTAGAAGTAGTTTGGACGTCCTCCAAGCATTATTCTCAGTTTACCGCAGCAACAGATTGCTGTTGACAAAGGGAGGCGGACATCCATAGCAGAACAGGAGGAGGCCATAGGGTCTAGAAACTTGAGCGGCCTCACTCAAAGCTGCAAAGTCATGAGCTTAGCTTTCTAACCCGATTAGAGAATCTCTGCAGTCTACTAATTAAAAAGAAAAAAAACAAAACATGCAGAGAGTTCAAATAAGTAATAATGCTTAGCAATTATGACTTCCAAGGGTGTAGCCATGTTCATTGTCTTCATTTCAACACACTAATCCTGTATTACCTTGGCATCTTAAGAGGCTGATCACTTTTAAGAGTTGCTCTTCCAGAGCACACTTTTGTCAGCTGCATCTGATGACACAGGGCTGGGTCCGTGACCACTTGGCTCACATTGATCTTATTATCTTCAGGGTGGCACAAGTCCTTTGTGTGGTTTTTAGCATTTTAATACAGCGGCGTTGCACTGCATTCATATTCATTTATTTAAAAAGCTTCTGTGCTTGCCCTTCATCAAAACAGGTTGCAGGGCGGGGTGCAACAATATAGATAATATTTCGGGTGTGTCAGGAGCTGCCCTGTCCTTCTGGTCTGGACATGGTCACCAGCCCCAATCTGGGGAGTGGGTGGAGAGAAGAGCGCTTCCAGTGATAGTAAAACACACAGAAAATGCTACTGATGTCACGTGTAACTTAAGCTTGCTTTTTCCTCCTCCCTCCCAGTCCTTTTTCCTCTTTTTAGGTGTGTGTGTGTGTGTGTGTGTGTGTGTGTGTGAGAGAGAGAGAGAGAGAGAGAGAGAGAGAGAGAGAGAGGTGGCAAAACTCACTACAGCCTTGTGGCCCCTGGACGGTTGGCTCAGAGGACGTGGTGGAGCCTACAATAGCCCAATGAGAAATGTCTGAGAAGCATTTTGAGGATAAAAATCACTTGCATCCACCAGGACCTCAACTCTGCTATTATAGCAGACAAATCTCAAGAGGTTTCCTCTTGGGTGTTTTAATACGGTGCTGTGCTTGTGTGTTTAGGAACTGTTGCTCCTGTGGTACCTGTGTTATGTTCACAAGTATTTTTTACAAATTATATGTATCTCAAGAGGAACATCATTTGGGGATACTTTTATATATTTTTAGATGAGCACTAGGTCTTCTTTCATTGCCGTTTTAATGCTTCTTGTTTCTTAACCTGTTTTTAGCCTGTTGTCATTTTAACTTTTTGAAGGTTTTAAAGTATTGTTCATTTTTCTTATTGATAATATTATTGATTAAACTGCTTTGAAGTTTTGTTTTTGATTTTACAATTACGTGGTGTATCCATTTAATAGAATTAATAGAATTAATTTGTATTTTTATTCTGTAAAATATTGGAGATGCTTTGGTGTAAAAAGCAACTAACAACGTCAACCCCTGCTTTAGCTTAAACATGCACAGGATCAGGGGCTGAATGAGCATGCAAAGCACTTCCCTTTACAACGGTCCTGCAAGATGACCCAATGTTAATATCCCAATACTGCAGAGGGGAGAGCTGAGGCTTGTTCAAGGCTGCGGATCAGGTCAGTGTGGATGTGGCGAGATGCTAAGGGAGAAGGGGGTGCTTCCCGGTCCGCAGCCGAATCCCTCCCAATAACTTCTGCCCCACCAGCCCCACCTGTACTTACGCCGAAGTAATGGCCCGGTAGCGCTCCAGGCCAGCCGTGTCCCAGATCTGTGCTTTCACCAAGGCATCTCCCACCAGGATGGTACGAGTGGAGAACTCCACCCCAATTGTGGTGCGGCTGTCGTGGTTGAACTCATTGCGGGTGAACCGGGAGAGCAGGTTGGTCTTCCCGACTCCTGATTCTCCAATCAGGACCACTAAGAGAGATGGAAGGAAGGAGTGAATGCATTGCATTCATTAAAAAGTCTAGGTGCAAATGCATTTATTTACTTTATGAATCGCTTCCTATTAAAAACAACAACACACGATCAAATCGATGTAGCAATAAACATCACCAACAAAAAAACATCTGTGAAGCCAGTGCTTTTCTTCTGGTGGTGCTCAAGAGTACGCAGTACCGGCACCTTTTTTTCTAGAAGAAAAGCTATTTCATATATAATAAATTCAAAGCCAGTATGGACACAGAACAGGATTAAAATCTTGACGTAAACAGCTGGCCCAAGGCAGTTTGGCACCAGAGGTAAAACACAAAATGGCACACCGCTCCCCCCCCACCAGGGAAGAAAGAGTGAGTGAAGATCTATCCCAAACAAGTGGGGAGTAAAGATCTACAGTGCAATCTGCCTCCCCTGTGGATCCTGCCGTCTGAGGCGACCGCCTCACCTTGCCTCATGTGTGGGCTGGTCCATGATCTAGCCCAGCATCCTATTCTCACAGTGGCTAACCAGGTGCCTGAGGGAAAACGGCAAGCAGGATTCAATCGCAAGAGGACTCTTCACTCCTGTGGTTTCCAGCAACCAGTATCCACACCATACATTCAAAGCACTATGCTGTACCACTTTCAACAGCCATAGCTTCTTCCCCCAAAGAATCCCGGGAGCTGTAGTTTGTTAAGGGTGCTGAGAGTAGTTTGGAGACCCCCTGTTCCCCTCACAGAGCTACAATGCCTCTTCACAGGGAACTCTGGGAATTTTAGTTCTGTGAGATGAATGGAGGAGGGTCTTCAAACAACTCTCAGCACCCAAATGAACTACAGCTCCCATGATTCTTTGGGGGAAGCCATGACTGTTTAAGATGGTACCACAGTGTTTAGATGTATGGTGTGAATGTGACCATAGAGCCGAGCCTTTTGCAATGCATCATGGGATGGAGTGGCTCAGGCAGCCCTCCTTGGGACAAGAACTGGGGCTCTGCAAAGGTGCCCTTCTTTGCCTGAGAGGGTCCCATGCCTTGCCCTTCAGTAGTGATGTGATGCTCTCCTGGCCACTGGCCACTCACCCAATTCACTTGCATTATTTTGAAGGCTGCTGCCAGGAACACCAGTGTGTCTGTTCCTTCCTCCCCCTGCCAAGTGCTCCTGAATCCCTTTATTTATAGCTGTGATTTCACGCCCCGAAGACTTTGCAGCAATTAACACGGCACATTTCCGATCGCTACAGGAAGGGCAAATACAACAGGCCATAATTCACGCAAGGTACAGGGTCCTGCAGCTCCACCAGGAAACCCAAACCTGGTAGGTGTCGCTGCCTTTGAAGGCTGGGGAAAGCTAGCTTCGACAAGTGTAGAATAACTATGTTTGGCTTCTCAGAATGTGATCTGTGGGCTGCCGGTGGCCTGAAACCTCCATTCAGAGGGACGTGGAAAGGTTGCCGGACTACCTGCACTTGTCCCTGTGCTGTTCATTTGTTTGTTAGGATGATGACGGCGATTTGAGATCCTCCCGATCAGGGCCTGATTTATTTATTTCTTCATTACATTTATATTCCGCCTTTCTTCCAAGGAGCTCAAGGTGGCGTACCTAGTTCCTCCTTTTTCCCCATTTTATTTTATCCTTACAACAACCCTATGAGGTTGGCTCAGCTGAGAGCCCAAGGTCACCCAAGGCTGAATGGGGATTTGAACCCTGGTCTCCCAGGTCCTAATCCAACCCTCTAACCGCTACACCACACTGCCTCTCAATTTATCAGGCTTATCAGACAGGCTAACATGTACTGTGGCAGCCATAATATGTGCTAGAAAAGCCAGCAGGTATCTTTACTATGGAATTATTTTTCCGTGTTGCTAAACAGCTGGGCCTAAATGACTCTTCTGCCAGTTGCATGGGATGGATCAGAGAGTCTGGCTGTTAACCAGAAGGTTGGTGGCTTGAGCCCTCCGAGGCGCAGCAGTGGGCAGGATTCCTGCATTGCAGGGGGTTGGACCAGATGACCCTCGGGGTCCCTCCAACTCTACAGTTCTATGATTCCCATTTAACACTTTGCTGTCTGTGTCAGCTCTTCAGAAACCTCAAATCACAGCTCCTATGAGCAAGAATCCCAAATGATTCTCCCCAACCGAGGCAATACTACAGAGGTCCCTTTTCTACTTTTGCATGTACTGTATTTTTCTGTCTATAAGACGCCCCCGTGTATAAGATGCCCCCTATTTTGGGGGGCTCAAAATTAAGAAAATGCACTATGCACTATCCGTGTATAAGATGACCCCTTATTTAAAACTTCAAAAATTTAGGAAAAAATATAGTCTTATACACGGAAAAATAGGGACGCAGGTGGCGCTGTGGGTTAAAGCCTCAGCACCTAGGACTTGCCGATCGAAAGGTCGGCGGTTCGAATCCCTGCGGCGGGGTGCGCTCCTGTCGTTCGGTCCCAGCGCCTGCCAACCTAGCAGTTCGAAAGCACCCCCGGGTGCAAGTAGATAAATAGGGACCGCTTACTAGCGGGAAGGTAAACGGTGTTTCCGTGTGCGGCTCTGGCTCGCCAGAGCAGCGATGTCACGCTGGCCACGTGACCCGGAAGTGTCTCCGGACAGCACTGGCTCCCGGCCTATAGAGTGAGATGAGCGCACAACCCTAGAGTCTGGCAAGACTGGCCCGTACGGGCAGGGGTACCTTTACCTTTACACGGAAAAATGCGGTAGTTTTTCACATGGATTCCTCTGCACCTCAGAGCCTATCATGGGCAGGGGACAGGAACTCAGGCCTGAATGTGGCCCCCCAACTCTGTCTGGCCCTCTGAACTCTCCTCCAGACCACACGCCTCACTGGTCTTGCTTCACACCCTCCTAGACTGTTTTCTTCTGGCTGGAATGTGTCCTTGAACTGTGATAATGACTCATTTGCCTGGGTGGAGGACGGAGAAGGGTGGGTGAATGTAAGGAAACTTGCCAGTGCTATTTTTCTAGAAAAAGAGGTGCCAGAAGTCACCATGAACGGCGCCCTTGTTCTCTTATAATGGCAATGGCGCCCACCTGAGAGGTGCCCAAACTGAGTTCTGGCGAGTTCTTGCTGAAAAAAAGCCCTGGATCCTCAGAGTTTCCTGGGAAGAGGGATAGTCTGTTAAACAGGCTTCTTTGGAGGGGAAGCCATGACTATTTAAAGTGGTATCGTAACGCTTTAAATGCATGGTGTGAATTGAGCCTTCTGCAGACAGAGATGGGGTCTGAGGCTGGAGAAAAGGGGGCGAGTTATTTATCTGCCAAGTACCACTGAATCTGTGTCCTCCAAGCTGGAATTTGAACGCCACCGTCTCAGGGATCATGTTTGCTCCTTTACTGAGAGGTGCAGGTTTATGAAGGCCAAATATTTGTTTTGGTTTCTGAGAAAACCGCCATCCCTTATGCTGTTGTCTGTTTGTTTTTACTGCCTAGATGGGAGTTGTTAGAGAGCTAGAAACTTGACAGTTGGCTTCACTCTGCTTGCTTTTCCTAATGCATGCAGCTCTGATGCTTCAGAGTCCAGATTAGCACAAACAGTGATCAGATCAGGGCTGGTTTCTGGCTTGTGGATGCCCAGAACACCAAATTGGTGTGTTGTTGTCCCTCAAAAACGCTCCAGGCACTAGGGGAAAACATCTGGCACGAGGAAGCTAGGTCGTTAGCGGGAACTGTTATATCAGGGACAAGGAATACTTTTCAGCCTTGAAGGCAACATTCTCTTCTTGTCAACCTTATGATGACCACATGCCAATGGTGGGCAGGGCCAGAGGCAAAAGTGGGTGTGGCAACAAATGCAAATTCTACCTTTGCAAAGTAGGCTAGTTTCAGGGCTTCTTTTCCCAGCCGGAACTCAGTTCCAGCACATTCGCACATTCATGCATGTTCTTGCTAAATTCCAGCACCTAATTTTCTAGAAAAATAGCACTGCATACAACCTGCAGGTGAACTCTTGCAAAGCTCAGCTTGCAAAGCGGCCGAACTCTTGCAAGATGCTCCTGCCTCACTGAGCAGGCGAGCTATGACAAGGCTTCTATTGAAAGGGGTAGAGGTGCATGGCTTTGCAACTTAACTCAGCTCTCCTCCTGTGGTTGATGGGGAAAGCAAAGAGTCACATGCTTTGAAGTACCAGGAAACAAGGAAAGAGAAAAGCAAATAATCAAGCTGCAGGGAGGAAACTGATCCTATCACTACCAACAATAGTCACTAGGAACGCAAAGTTTGGCCAGCTGATGAGTTGCATTAAAATGAATACAAACCTCAGGTTGGTGGCCCAACCTCCTAGCAATTTTACATGCCGAAATTATTTAGGGTTAGGGTGTGCAGCGACTGCCATCTTAGAAGACGCATTCCTGCTTCTCTTACGCAATGAGGTAGTTGCATACATGCTATACCTTCAAAGCACATTCTTTCCCTCAAAGAATTCTGGGCACTGTATTTTATCCCTCATGGAGTTACAATTCCCAGCAATGTTTAACAAACTACAGTGCCCAGAATTCTTTGAGGCACTGTATGATGTGCTTTAGAGCTATATAATGTGCACCATCCTTCGGAACTGCTTTCAAACACAAATATTTTGCAAATCTGTTCAGGATAATCTGTCTGATATGTTAGGATCTCATATACCCTTAGAAGTTAGAACCTAAAATATTTCTACTTGGTTATCTAAAGCACCAAGAGATAGTGTTCCATCTTATAACTGCTTCTACAATTGTGACAGCTAAAAAATGGGGGGGGGGAGTACACACAAATATATTGGGGGAAAATCATAGTAGCAGAAGATTAAGTTAACTTCTTATAAAAGAATACATACAAATCAGCCTAACAGATTTCTGGAAAAAATCGTAATTTTTGTAAAGTTTTGGAACATTTACTCTAATGATAATGTTCAACTTTACGCTGCCTTCAACCTGTTGTAACATTATGAGTATCACTTTACAGATGTTGAATTTAAATTTTAAAAAGCATAAAAGGTAGAGTGTGTACACAACTGCGCCTTTTGTCTTTCAGTTTATTAAGCTTTAAATGTGTGCAAAATTTAATCAACTAACGCGGACAGACTTAATCAGCCTTGATTCTTTAAGACAGGCACTCTTCAAGAGCCATATGGGTGCTTGACAAAGGATACTCAGCTGCAGCCCAAAGGTGTGAGCCTATTTGTCCACTATTGTCTGCACTGACTGGGGGAGGGGCTGTGGCTCAGCGGGAGAGGCAGGCACCTGTTTGCATGCAAAAAGTCCCAAGTTCAATCCCTGCTGAGATCCCCAGGTAGGACTGAAAATATCCGGTATGAAACCCCAGAGAGCTGCTGCCAGCCAGTGTCGGCAGTACTGAGCTGGACCGGTGGTTTCTCACCATCACCCCTGATCCTTTCCTAGCTGCAGGTGGCAAGGCTGGAAGAAGAGAGCAAAGAAAGGGCTTGACCGCAGAGCTACAGCCCCTTCAAGTCATTGCCCCACCTTAGGAAGTTAGAGTGGACTTCAAATACCTGAAGGGGTGTCACATGGAAGATGGAGCAAGCGTGTTTTGCTGCTGCTCCAGAGGCTAGGACCCGAATCATAGAATAGTAGAGTTCGAAAGGACCACGTGGGTCATCTAGCCCAACCCCCTGCAATGGAGGAATCTTTTGCTCACTGTGGGACTCGAACCCACAACCCCGAGATTAAGAGCCTCATGCTTTGCCGGCTGAGCTATCCTAGTGTATTAACTGGTAGATTCCATTTAAAAGAAAGCACATTCCGACTCAACATCAGGAAGAACTCTCCGAAGCTGAGAGCTGTTGGACGGTAGGACGGACTTCACTGGGATCCCTGCAATTCAGGGGGGTTGGACTAGATGACCGTTGGGGTCCCTTCCAGCGTTACACTTGTACAATTCTATAAATCCTCCCATGGCTTTAAAAAAAAGGGGGCATCTTGGGTCAACACACAGCTTTCAGGACAGTCCTGAAAACCCAGCCAACAGCTTTGAAGATAAAGAATTGGGAGGTGGGGAGAGAGAATGAGGCAAAAACAAGACACTCACCTTTAAAGACGAAGTTATAATCTTCCTCTGAGGTCCCCATGGCTTGCTGCCCTCCAGGGCCCACTTCAGCTGGAGCAAAGGGGTCCCTTCTCTGCCCTTCTCCAACAAACCAGGAAGGAGGGAAAGGCTAGGTTGCTGGGTTTTTTCTTTTGCAGAGAAACCCCAAGTTTAAAGCAGAAAGAGCGTAGGGGGAAGGAGGGAGGGAGGGGCGGAAAGCAGCGAGGTCCACCTGTGCAAAGAGAGGCTCTTGTTTGGAATGAGGGCGGATGGGTGGGGGACCCTTTGAACAAGGGGGTGGCAGGAGGGAGGAGGAGGGAGAAACCGTGCCACCCAGTCAGGGCAGGTTAAAGGTGCAGCTTCGCCTGACTCAGTGGGGCGTGGACTCTCTGCCGCCGCGCAGGTTGAACAGGTAAGGGCTGAGCCCAGCCCCTCCGCGGCACCTCGCCTGGGCGGGTGTCACCTGAGCGGAGGGACTCCTCGCCCGCTTCACCTGGGCTCGCGGTAAGGTCAGGGGGAGGGAGAAGGGAAGGGGTTAGGAGGGGCCACTGCCTGTTTCCCCAGACAGGCGCTTGGGCCTTTAGCCGAGGCATCCATCCATAGACCATATTTTCTCTTCCAGTTGAGGAAAGCGATGGCAAGACAGCTTCTAAACTGACACTTATTTACTGGTTTCTGAAATCAAGCGCAGTGATAAACCTGTGTTTGATGCCTGCCAAAAGAAAAGGGGGGGGGGGAAGCTTTGCTTAGGCAAATGACCCAGATATGTATTTTTTTTATTCTGCATGTTTGTTTATCAAACAGTTGGGACTTACTATCACTTGGCAACCCATGCCCGAGAGAGTCGTACAGACCAGGAAATTAACTGCTTTTCTATCGGCCTTTATTACATGTGCAATGTGGTTATAGGGCTCTGAGAAAATGTGGCAACTTGTGGAATGAAATGACTCATTAAATAGGCATTTGGTGCTGGGGGGCAGTGACTGTAAAAAAAGTAGTTGTTTATGAATCACTGTTTTTTATTATTAATGTTTTATTAGAAGAGTTTCATTTGTAAAAAGATACAACTGAGAAAAAAAGGGGAAAAAGTGAGTGAGAATGAAAAAAAGGAAAAATACGGTTACATTACCATACATTAATATTCAGGTGTGTGTATTCTTATTATCCTGATACACATATACTTGTCAATAACCTAATATAGTCTGTGTAAACTCATTCCAAATATCGTATTTATCCGAAGAAAGTCTGTGTCTGTAAGCTGTCTGTTCTTATGTTGCCAATGTTGTCAAGCTATTGATTAAGAGGAATTCTTCCAGTTCATCAGTATCAGTCTCTTGGTCACCATTAGAGCATGTGGAATCCATTTTTGCTGTCCTGTTGTCAATTTCCATACAGTGGGTATATAGTTCAAGAGCAGATTCACCTCTGAAAATCTTAATTTTTTCCTCATAGTTTCTTGTTTATATAGTCCAGCACTTTCTCCCAAAACTTAGTGAGTGTGGGACACAGTAAAAGCATACGTTTCAAAGAAGCATTTATGAATCACTGTTTATGACTGACATATATTGCAAATAAAGGGAGGGGCTCTCATTTGCAGTCAACAGGCCATTTAAACATTTTATAACAATTGACAGTAACATTAATGAAAAACGCACACTGCTACAACTTAAAAACCACAGAACTATAATGCTTAACCGTGTATGTGTGTCTCTGGCCAACGTGATTTAATACAGATCGCCGTATTCAAAAACTCTGCGACTCTAATGGACTTGCCGCAAGACTTCAATGGCTTACTTCAAGTATGATTAACACTATACATCACGCTAACACTTAAGAGTTTCATTGAGGGTTAAAATTAACAAAAACTGCTGATGTGCCCTCAGGCATTTCCTCACAATCTTGAGAGCTAGCAACTTGGTTCCTCATTCCAATAATAGGGAAGTAGCAACGGCTGGGGACGAGAAGCCTGCATGTTGTTGTCAGATTCAGGTAGATAGCCGAGTTGGTCTGACGCAGTCGAAATAAAAATAAATAAATAAAATATTGTCCAGTAGCACCTTATAGACCAACCAAGTTTGTTCCGGTACAGTATAAGCTTTCGTGTGCATGCACACTTCTTCAGATACACCAGTGTATCCGTTGTTGTCAGCCATGCAGCCGTAGTCAGGCTTCATTCCTAGCCTCCCCATCAGAAACCTGAAAAACTAATCCTGTTAGACCAGACCAGAAGGGTGGAATGTTGAAGAGGGAGAAGCCTAAGATATATAAAGAGTTGGAATTATAACCTGAGGGGAGGTGAGGAGTGGTAAAACTGAGGTCCAGAAGGCTCAATACTTCATGTTTACAGGCTTCTGGGGTGGGGCGGGGGTGGGGGGTGGGTTTGAAGCCTCCACCTCAGAGAATTTACGATTTCAAAAAGTTTCCAGATAACGTTATTTGCAACTGAAAAATAAACCACATCCAAACCAGAAAAACAGAATGGTCACAGGACGAGCAGTTGGCTTTCTTGGTGATGGTGAATGTTAAAAGGTCCTGGCAGCAACTTTTCCAGAATCAGAATTCAGAGAACGTTGCCCATTCCGGACTGAACCAAATGCAAACAAGAGTCAGACCATGGAGCCCAAGCCTGGTCTACAGCGATGAACAGGAACTTCATTAACTCTGAACCCCAAAGTTTGGGATCCTCTCCAAACCTTTGTCAAAGTCTTGCAGCATTTCGCAGCGACAACCCTGCGTTTTGCAGCTCCCCTCCCCCAATCTGAGTAATTGACACATCAAACACAACACTGAACACTGCAAAACTTTGACACAGGTTTGGAGGAGACCCCAAATTTCAGGGTTTGTAGTTAGTGAAGCTATGGGCAGGAGCTCTCCAGGCAGGTGTTTCTCCATCCTACCTGGAGAGTGACCCCACACTGCTTTCTAATGCCCCTGCAAAAACCGGTTTTTTCACAGCCTCAGCTGACCCTTGGAGCAGCATGAGAAAGGTTGGGAGCAGAGGGACTCCTTTGCAAAAGCCCACTTTGCCAGATAGTTTTGAGGAAAGCAGGTTCAAACCATGCTTCAGATGTGGCTCCTCTGAATTGTGGATTCAAGAGCCTAAGGATGTCAGTGACATTTAAGTTAAGAACACAAGAAGAACCTGCTAGATCTGGCCAATGGCACATCAAGTCTAGCATTCTGTTCTCACAGGGACCAAACAGATGCCCGTGGGAAACTGGCATGTGGGACCTGTTCACAAGAGCACTCTTCTTCCCTGTGTCTTCCAGCAACTGGGATTCAGAAGCATTAATTGCCTCTGACCGTGGAGGCAGAGCATAGCCATCATGGCTAGTAGCCTTTGATAGCCTTCTCCTCCATGAATATGCCCAATCCTCTTTTAAAGCCATCCAGGTTGGTGGCCATCACTGTTTCCTGTGGCAGAGAGTTCCATAGTTCAACTATGCACTGCATGAAGAAGTGCCGCCTTCTTTTTCTGTCCTGAAAGTTTTATAAAATTATTTTTTGTCACCTCTTATTTAAACTAAAAACTCCCAACCGGTGTGAACTTTCCTCATAAGGGAGTCCCATAAGTTTCTCTTGTTTTAATAGATATATATTTTAATCCCCTAGTCCAGAATCGGGATTTTGAGTGACAAGTTACTAGAAAGGCCAAAAAATGTGACAAAGCAACATTTTGAAATCACTGAAGGTTCCAGCTTTGCACATCAAAAATGCATTGCTTTGGTTATTTGTATCACATCAAGCTTAGATCCCCTTTGGCTGGGCCCCTGAACTCTCATCTAGCCACGTAATAGCCACCTCTAGATCTGCTTTAGGTTCAGGTGACAAGCAGCAGCACGAATGGGGGGGAAAGCAGATTATTCTGCATTGTGAAATGAAACAGTGTCGTAAAGCTTAAGTTGATAACCACACGGACAGGAAGGAAACACCAGCTCAGGAATAAATTGTTCCAGAAATTCTCCTGGCGTTTGGGAAGGTAGACACCCAAATCTCTCTTTCCACGCGGTTAAAAAGATTCATTCTGGACAGGATGAGAAGATGCAGAATGAAACAACTAGGAGATTAGCACAAAACCACACATGCAGGCTGCTGCAATCTGCGGGGGAAACACCCAGCAATGCTGAAAATTGCTCTTGTTCAAAAGTTAACTCAGCTTTGGGGCAAGACACTTGGAGCATACAGCTGCCAGGAACAAGGGCACCTCTTCCCCTTTGGTGGGAGACTGACCAGACCAGTTCATCTCTGATAGTTCCATCTGTAGAAGGAATTCCATAAAGTAGTCTTCACCAACCTGGCCACTCGGATCAGCCCCACAGAGTTCAAGGGGGCTCCTTCCCAAGTATGCACCTTTGCAGTCCTGATGTACAAGGTGACAAAATGGAAGAGGGTGCAGAAGCAAGCACACTGGCCAGCTGTGGTAGGCTGGAAGCATCTTTGGTACACTGAGCATCCGAAAGACAAATCGGCTTCTCCTGGTGCACACGTAAGAGACAGAGTTGACAAAGGACAGGCTCATCTGGGACCCTGCCCAGACAGGCAGGCAGGATGCATGTTCCCAGGAGATCTGCACAGACAAGTATCACTTTAGTGTGCAATTATGACCAAAATGTTGATGTGAAAGGGTGGACAGGAGGAGACAGAAAATGTACTTTTGGGGAATGAATGTGTGTGCGGTTACTTTTACTCACACACACACAAAGCGCTGTATCCAACTAATATGTACCATCAGTGCAAGAATTTACGCTTGTGCAATGGACCTGCTTCCCCGGTGTGCCCCTGCATCCACTCTGGAGGGTTGGGGGAAACCCCAGGACAGACTTAGGGGTGTACAGGGTGGGATGGAAAGAGTGAGGAATTTATTTTTTGTAAAGTCATTAGTGCTGCATTGGTTACAACCCCTACTGAATGATTTCCCCCATCTGTCAACTTAGCCCTAAGCAAGAAATGAGTCCACCTTTCTGTTTTAAGAGGAGAACTGACACTTCTAGGAAGAGTTAAAGGAAGGCACGCACCCCACCCAGCTACCAAGTCTTTCAACACCACCTGTCTCCTCTCAAGAGCATTAGCACAGCAAAGGCAGGCTTAGGAAGGTGTCACTGGCCTTGAAGCTAACCCAGCACCAGCTGTGGAAAGGGATTACTGGAATTGGCCAATTAAAAGTAAAATATGAAAGGAATGGAAAAGTCTTTTGCTCCTCTGCTGCCACCAGGTGGTTCCCCTTCAGTACTGAATCCCCTTGCTTAACAGCAGGAAAATGCTTCCAGAAAGCCTGGGTCCAGATCAGTTCTTCTCCAAACTTTTCAGGTTCAGAGTCTGGAACACTTGAGCAGCTGTGTGGGTTAATTTGTAAGCGAGCCCCACTGCGTTCTACGGGATTTATTTCCAGGTCAAATATGTACAGGATGGTAGGTGGATGTTTCTGCCAATGCAGAGGAG